TTTTCTTAATTGCAAATGGAAGCACTGCTTCGTGGTATGCGCGAGGAGCACACGCAGCTTCGAAATGCGTGAAAAAATGGCGACGATATAATGTAAAAATTACATAATTTGAAGGCCAATTTTTGGCAAAACTGCAGGTGTTATCGATTGCAACATTTTGTTGTTCGACTTTATAAGCTTTTAAGCAACATTTGCACCCGTCAAATTGTTGTCTCTGTGTGGGGGAAACGAAAAGTCAAAATCTGCTGAGTGGCTGATGGCCTATAATCTCAATTGTCTTGAAGGAAAACACACTATTTGTAGAGTTAATATAAGATATTGGGTTGACATCAATTATAGGAATACTTTTAGCCAGGTTTTCACCTATCTCGGTAAAATGTGTGTTAAATGCCTCAGCTATTTCGTGCGGACGGACATGCGGACGGACATGCGGACGGACATGCGGACGGACATGCGGACGGACATGCGGACGGACACGCGGACGGACATGCGGACGGACATGCGGACGGACACGCGGACGGACATGCGGACGGACACGCGGACGGACATGCGGACGGACATGCGGACGGACATGCGGACGGACACGCGGACGGACGGAAGGAAGGACGGACGGAAGGACGAAAAGGATAAAATTCGGATGCGGACAAAAGAACAAAATGCGGACTTTTTCATTGCCGTAACATAATTCGTTATTTCGGAGACACAATTCATAGACTTAGTACACGGTAAATCCAGCCGGAGTTTGTAATTTCATTTTAGTTAATAGTATATGCAAGGTCATAGAGAATTGTGCTGGGTTTTTTCTCCCCGTAGTAAAATACCATTACGGTGGTGTTGTTTCTGGATGAAAACAGCATGAATGCAACATAACTGATATAAGAAATACACAGAGCTAGTGCTGATGCCTTACCCGCGATATATTACGGAAATCCCAACGCAAAAATATATAACAACAACTCAACAAGGTAATTACAACAGGCGGAGGCTTTGCAGTAAATAATTGCTCCAGGTATGAACCGTGCTGAATAGTCAAATTAGCGAGCTAAAGAGTAAAGAATTCATTGACCGATGACAAATAGTGACAAAGCAAATATAGTGACTTTAAAGAAATTTCTATAAATGTTTAAGACGTTTAGTGTTTACTGCTAGACGTACATCCAGGCTCTAAATAGTTACTGTACTTTCAAGGAAAATTAGGTAGATACATAGATGTTTATTTACACTGATCACTACAAATGTTTAAGTTGTTAATAAACAACCTCAAGAAATCGGATTTTGTGCAAGGCTGCCAAGGCTGATATTCTATTTTTTTAAATATTCTGGAGGAAACACAGTGAAGGTTAGTTTTTATAGTGAATACTATTTATCAATACTGATTACTGTTGATTTGAAGCTCGATTTTGATATACGGTGTCGGTGAAACAAGGACGCAAAATCAATGGACAATGGCGGATTTTGAAAATGTAATAGATATTTTTGAATTTCCATGGCATAACAACAGTGTGTTACGAACATTTTCTCGGCGAATTTTCTACTAATCCGAATATAAATACAACTAAAACGTAGTCATTTTCACAAGCTTTCAAACCATCCGTGTTGGGGGTGTATGTCGTTAAATTTCGAATTAATATAAGCGGTTGAAACTCGTGCCTAAACCAGGCTATATTGTCCGACTAGAATGTGTATTCCGACGGCAATTTTTACACCCTCGTTTAGGCAACGAATTCTCGCTCAATATTCTAGCTACAATATTCTAGCTCGTACCAAACTGTAGCTGAATTCACCAGCTATCTGGCAATATACGTAAAATTATTGTAGCTGTAATATTCGCACAGATATAGTCGAATAAAAGTCATATGTTTATGTTACATTAAACTTTCTAATTATAATTCTGGTTTCAAATTTTGTTTACATTGTGTGATTTTGACCCCGTCGTTTAGACAACGTTTTCTCGCTCAATATTGTAGCTACAGGAATATAGCTCCTACTAAAATGTAGCTGAATTCACCAGCTATCTGACAATATGCGTAAAATTATTATACCTGTAATATTCGCACAGATATAGTCGAATAAATGTCATATGTTTATCTTGCATTGTGTCATTCTTAATTGTCTTACTGTAATGAGCTGAGGGTGTCAAAATTACCGTTGGACAATACTGCGATTTGCAGTTGAGCTTAGAGACAGGACGTTTTACCGTACAGTTTGATCGTTGAAACGCACAAGTTACCAAGGGCAAATTCAAATGTTGTCAAGCGGAAATGCGAATGTTGTCATGGGAGATTTAGGCAATTTTGGCCAATCACAGTGAAGAAGGCGTTGCCCCAAATCAAGCGCATAAGTTCAAACATAGTACTATAATAAAGAAATCTGTTCAACAACGCTTTATTATATATTTGTTTCTTGTGTAAAACATGTAGATTATGAGTATATTATGTGGTAATAAAGCATGGAAAAAGTAAGTAAAAGGAAAAGAACATATGTTAGAGGCAAACCGCTCGGAAATGACCTAAGATCTTTGATTATTGATGAAGTTATACATTCTGGAGGGAATATAATAACTCGAGAATACCCTGGGAATTTTTCTGCAATAGCTAAACAGTTCTCTGTTCATGACTCGACTGTAAAAAATATTTGGAGCAATTACTGCGAGAACAAAACACTTGATCCAAAAAAGAAAAAGGGCGGAAATCCAAGCAAATTACATGATGGTGATTTGGAACTTATCGAAACGTTAACAAGGATTCGTCCAACTATCAGTCTAAACGAACTAAAAGACGACGTAGAATTGTATGATCCAAAGCCTGATGGAGTATCCATTTCAGCTATTTCCAGGGCGTTAAAACAAAGAATGCCTTCTGGTTTGCAGTATTCACGAAAGAAAGTAAACAAAGTTGCTATCGAACGATTTACCCCAGTTAATATGGTCTATACGCAGATGTTTATAAACTACCTGCATTCTAAGGACCCACGCAAGTTGAAATTTTTTGATGAAGCCGGATTGAAATTGCCACATCACGGGACAAGATGTTACGGACATGCTCCGGTAGGCGAGAGATGTTTTGAACTGGCACGTTATCATCAAACTCCTAATATAACACTGAACCTTCTCGCAGGTTTAGAGGGAGTTGTGTACGCTAACACTGTTAAAGGTGCTGCTATAGCACTGTGCATCTGTTGCAGTTTTTCGGAGAGGCTGCACAAGCTGGAAATGTAATTACTCAAAGACCAGCGCTTGAATATGGGGATATTGTTGTAATGGACAATTGTCCAACCCATCATTACGATGGCGAAGAAGTATTGACTGAGTTTCTGAATGAAATAGGTATAGAGCTTGTTTATACCCCTACATATTCCCCCGATTTTAATCCCGCTGAGTTTGTATTTGGAAAGATATATCAGGACTGAAATGCGGTATGCTTTATGGGAACTGACAAATCGAAACTTGGTATTATCCGTTTATGAAGCAATTGACAAAGTTACGGAACAGGATATGATTGGATTTTTCAGGGCGACGTCGTACATTTAAAAACATGATCAAAAACCGCTTTATATTAGTAACTGAGAACTTTAAGTTAATAAAAAATGTTATATACATAGTCTGATAGTCATAGCATATCGGTTTGTTTGTTACAATAAAATGTAACAAAGATCATTGTAAATACAAAATCGTATTAAAATAGAATATGACGCGTCAACATTTGTAAAAATTTGACAGGTTTCTAAAGGGAAAAATGCGTGAAATATTTCATTGCCAAACGTTATAAAAACGAAATGCTTTATTTTAATATTACATATCATTATCTGCATGTATAATACAGTTTTATGTCCAAAATATAACTGTAAAATATACAGAATTCAACACAACCGAATTAATAAAAATATCAAAATCGCAAAGTCAAAGACAAAGTTTTTCCAGTGTTACAGTAATTTCTATATTATTGGAGAATGTTCGGTTTATTCACTCATGCATCACTGTAATATTCGTCTTCCTCACAACCGGGCGAAATTGTCTCCGAAAGGGCGGCATGAGCTAAAATATCAAGACAATTAGCCGCGGGTGCTAGAGGTGGATAAGTTCTATTACTAGAAATTGGAGTTACATGAGCAGTTTGCCTCATATTTATAGTTCCCCTGTTCTCGTGGTTTATGATACCTGCGGCTGTAGTAATAGTATGATTGTTTATTGCAGAATCAAAATTTTCTTGATTCCAATTTGAAAGTTGCTTCGTACCATCACAAGGCACTAACACGTGAATCTGCTGATTGACGCTAGGGAATAAATGCTGCGTAGCTGCAGGCTGGGTCGTGACTGGATTTGTTTCTTCTATTTTGCTAGATTGGTTCAAAGCATTTTGCAGCTCAATAGCGAGCACAAAATCTTCCTGCTCTTGTTTGCTACTAAATGAACTCGGTGAAGAACCGTCTGTCAATTTTGATCTCTTAGGAAATTTTATACCATGGTCGATAAGGATTTCCTTGCGTGGATTGTCGTGAATCGATCTTTTTTCAAGATTTTTTGTACATTTATTTAGCCCCGTCTTTAGTAGTTGAGGTATTTCGTTTCGACGTGGCAACTTTCCCTGGCATAAGTTTTCCAGTACAGCAACGTGCTTGTGAATCAATGACCAGTTCTTTATACCGTTTTGAATGTATAAATTAGGATTTGTATCTATTATATCCTGTTCGATTCTTGCTGCGAAAGATTCCTCCAATTTCTCATGAGTCTTTTTGGAAGAATGCTGCACGTCAATAGTACTTTTCAAATGCGTTTCAAGCCTTGCTTTTTCGTCACAGTGTTTGTCTATATCACCACAGGATCTCGCTGAATTGCAACTGTCGAATGTGCAGTTTCTCCTTGTATGTCCTGTACGCAAATGACAGTTTCCGCACATCATTCTATTGCCACAATTTTGCCGCTTCGCTCGAGCTATCGCATCATCTAAACACTGCAGTTCAGCCTTTTTTTCTTGAACATTATCGCGTGTATTTTTTATATCAGCATCCCGCTTCCTAAACAATCTTTGCACAGGAGTAAGAAATTCCACTTCTTGACTCGTCATATCAAGTTGTCTTCGACTTTTAGATTCATAAATGGACGACGGTTGCACGTTTGCACTATTATCAATTTCTTTTATGCCCGTTTGATGATCATTAATCCGCGATTTTGTTGTGGCGTACGTATAAGGCGAATTAAGTTCTCCCGCCTTTAATTTGAGCCGCTTATATTCCCTGTCGTTAAGTGAGACTGCATTATTCCACATTTCCCTATAACCTTTCTCGTCTCCGTAATTAATGTGGCATAGTTTCCTTCGTCATCGCAATATCTTATTCGAATTGTTGTTGAAGTTAAATGTGACAGAGATGAACAACGGCCAGTTATATCAGTCACCAAATCGATAAACATGTAACTCCCACAGTGCACATCACTCATGTCAACAGAGAAACTGATCCATTTATCTTCCGAATATTCTACTTTTACTTGATAACTCATATTTTCACGAACAATTTAATAAGAATACAGGAAACAAATACTATATTCCAAAGCAGAGGCCAGAACGAACGATAAAAGTATAAATACTTTGGGTCTTGGGGCAACGCCTTCTTCACTGTGATTGGCCGAAATTGCCTAAATCTCCCATGACAACATTCGCATTTCCGCTTGACAACATTTGAATTTGCCCTTGGTAACTTGTGCGTTTCAACGATCAAACCATCCTCGGTCCCAGGGCCTCACGGCTGACACTGCGTTGCCGGAGGCCCTGACGAAAACCAAAACGAGAAGTGATTTGATTGGTCGCATGAAAACAATGGAATGCGGAAATTGAACACGAACTTTTACTAATAAATATGGCTGACTATAGGAGTAGATAGGCTGATAGGAGTGTATTAACTCTTCAAAGAAGACGAAGAGTCGTTTTGGTCGTTGAAATCTGCTGTCTATCAATGGAAATTTTATTTTTAATATAAAAAATGTTGGATGTTGTGTCACAATGTATTAAAAAGCTGCACAAATTGGACATTGGATTATTTAAAGATTGAAATCGCCGAAGCCGAAGGGACATTTTATAGTTTTATATACGAGATTTAATTATATACAGAGTATAAACAAAGACAGGCGAAAGGCTATGCGAGAAAGACTGTACCGTTAATTGTACAAATCTACAAAAATTGTGAGTGATGTCTTGCATCTTTCAATTACAAATGAGAAAATCCTGATCGTGAATGAGTGTCTGTGTGGTTGTTCAATGCAAGAGGGGTCCATGCCATACATAATATTATATTAAATATAGTATATTATAAAATATAAATTATTTTATAATATATTATATTTAATAGACATACTTTATTGATTTTATATCAATTTCATCAAAGGCTCTTAATTTATGTAAAAATATTGTATTTTATATTAAATTGTATTTAATAATGACATATTGTATTTTAATACTATTTAATAATGACAAAGTGATTAATATAATAGCTGGAAATGTTAGTTCTTCCACCTTGTTTTGCCTTAAATTTCATGCAATATATAGCTTAATTTATAGGCTATCAATGTTTTTTTACAGTTGACAAATTATATTGTTAATAGTAATACTGCAACTTTGCTACACTGGTGATGAGCCTCCTAATTTTATGCTGTATACATACATTCAGTATTAAGTAATGTGTCAACATCTGGGAAACTAACTTCTGAATCTCTTACATGCAGTTGACTTAATTTTTATAAATTTTAGTGCCAGATTTCAAGGTTTAATTAGTCACCAAATTTATAATTTGTAAACTTTTGAAGAGAAATTGGGCAAGGCAGAGGCAGTGCAAGGATCAAGTATGGGGGGGGGGGGGCTGTAGCTCCCCTATGTGGAAATTCTAGACCCTCCCCAATCAGGGAAGTGGAATGTACTGGGAAAAATTATGTTTTGTAATGACCTTGTTTTGTAGTGCTGGTAAATGCACTGTTACAGACAATAAATTCTGCACCATTTCATGAGAGCCAAAAAATTCAACATTTTCATGTGTGAGCATAAGTTGAACATACAAAACAATAATTTTACTGTTTGAAAGATTATAGCCCCCTGTTGGGAACCTGATATTCCTTGTCGGGGAACCTGATATTCCTTGTCGGGGAACCTGATATTCCTTGTCGGGGAACTCCTGGAGCATCCGGCCTCCACACACAAGCACACTGGTACCCACACACCTCCTTTTCCTACACCATGCACTGCAATATTAAAGCACAGCATGGATGCACGATAAAAACTGTTATTTATTTTTTACAGTATCTTTATTAACACACCAAATTTTCATAGAGGAAATTGTAAGAATAAATCATTATTTATAT